GCCTAAACCACTCGGAATGACTTCAAATTTTTTGTTTTTTTTTTTTTTTGGGCCCAAATTGATTTCATCTTTCTTTTGTTTTCCAATTTAAAGAAAAATAAAAATAACTAATAAAACAAATGAAATTAAAACAAATAACAATATAGCACTTCAACATAATTATCATAAATAAAAATGTTTAAGTAAGTTAAATCACAACCTAAAACGGACGATGCACACATATATATTTTGAATTTTTTTTTAATGACACATATTTTTTGTATTTTGTTTGATAATGATTAAATGCAAAATGGACAGACCTACAAACGACTAATAACACATGTCACGGAAAAAAATCGAAAAATTGTACAGCGAAATCATTCGTCACTATTTTTATTTTTTGTTTTCCTTTTGGAGTGATTGCTCGTGAGGCAAAAATCACGTGCTTACACATGTTAGTAAACATATTTCAAACTGTCAAAGAAAGTTAACCCTTAAGAAATACAATGGATCAAAGTCCTTTTGTGGATGCTTTAATAATAGTAAAAGCATCGCCAACATGTAATCACAACTTAATTCTGAAGCTAAAATCACTTTAGCACTCTATAATTGTTCTCTTAGTTCAGTTCCTTCACTCTATTCTTGTATTATCAAGTATAGATATCTTTGTAAATGTATAAACATGAGAAACTACCATCCAAAAGCAAATAAAGCCGAGGAATACTAAAAAAAAATCTTAAGAAACTCATTTAAATCTATTTCAGAGGCTCAAGAGAAAAGTGCTTGAGAAAACCACTCACTGGTCTAAGTTCAAAACAGAGTTGAGAATGAGCATATACAACAAAAATTGTAAGTAAAATTAAGATAGTAGAAATAATTTAACAGAACATAAAGTCCCAATTTTACTCATTGAACCTGAAAGAATTCATACCCATAATAAGCACTCAATGATATTCATAAATCACATGCATTATCACATATAAAAACCAAACGGGAAAACAAGAAGTATATAGAATTGAGAAAAAATATTACCAAAATAATTTGACCGGCTGACAACCTCAAGAAATATGCAAACCCTAGATTTGATAAAACCTCTCTGAATCAATGAAGACTTCAGACTAATGTTTCTGAAGAGTTGTTTTGAGATGAATTTGGGGATTTTAGAATCGGATTTCTATAATAATTTCAGCGTAAAAGGAAAATTACTGGTTCTCGTTTTGGACCGAGGATGGAAGACGAATATGAGCAGAAGATGGGATATGAGGTCTTGGCTGAAGAAGCTTAAAAGCAATATGGTCCAAGTTCTACTTTGCTCGATTAAATAAGGATCTGAGATCTCCCTTGGCTCGAAGAGATCTAGGTCGACGATATGACTTTTCTCGAAGGAGGGCTTCTGGGAGAGGTTTGATGTTTTTTTAGAGGGCTAGATATGTTCTCCAGATAAATATTACTCCACATAAGAGTGATTTAGTATACTTAACAAAATAGAAAATTAAAAAATGAAACAATTAAAAAGAGACTCTGTTTTGAGAAAAAATAGAAGAGGGAAAATAAGGAGGGAATTGAAAACATTGCAATAACAAAAAAATTTATGTAACAGATGCCCTAGATATACCTATTGCAGTGGTTATAACAACTGATGCAATAGATTCATCTATAGCAACGCTTAATACACTAGAGCAACGGTTTATTTGCAAAGATGTTACAATAGGTGGAAGAACTTTATGCAACCGTTAAAACCGTTGCTATAGACAATCTACTGCAACGGTTACGGAACCGTTGCAGGAAAAAACGTTGTCGTAGATCAAATTTCTGGTAGTGTAATGGCAATTGTGTCGCAAATGATTTGGCAAAGAGTAGAGGCAACACGAATATCTTTGAGAATTTAAAATTTTATCATATTATCCTTCACCTTGTGTATTATCTTTTTTTGTTAACTTAACATCGGGACTACATCTCTCAGTACAACGAGCAAGGTATTAGTTAGTGAGTTTTATAATATGTATATACTGTCTATTACCAACAAAAAATATGCCAAATGGGACTTTCCCGAATATTTATGTACGACATTTTATTATACTTACAGAAAATATTAAAGGAAAAATGTTCAAAATTATTATTAAAATATTCAATTTTTCTTGCAATATTTGCATTACATCTATCTTTCACGCCTCGTACTGATAATTTTGTCACATAGTTGGCCCCCCACCCCACCCACAAGCTTGGCTTTGATATTTGTCACGATGAAGCTATGTAGATAAACAAAAGATCCAAATTTACTGCTTAATTATTAAATATGTGTTTTCACTTTTCATGGAGCGAAAGTACATAAGGACAAATGCAAGATGAATCACAAATATTAGAGGGTAATTGAACGTTTTCTAAGTTAGCCTTTGGCCATAGATTTTCAAATTTATTTTACAAAATTTGATTTGGGTGAAGTTTGGTTTGAAGATGAAAATATGTTTGGACATACGTTTTCAAAAAATATTTCCCAACTTTATTTCGAAAAAATATGTATATAATTCCCAAGTTTTGGGATTTTGACCCAAAATCAGCAATTGGGGCGATTTTGGGATTTCAGGTTTAGGATTTGAGATTTTGCCAAAATGTGAGCAAAATTTGTTGGAGCTGAAGTTAGTAGTGTTAAAGTTAGTAAAGTTAGTAGTGTTAAGTAGTAAAGATGGGCCAGCCCATCTTATGTAATTATGTTATTCTTATTGAGGCTCATTAAATGAGAGGCCCAATTGTATCATGTACATATGAGTGACCCATTTGTATTAGTTGTACAGATTTTGAGTAATAATAGATTTTACAATTTTCTTTGAACTCTCTCTGCACCGGCATATCCTAGAGTTCTTCATCTTCTCATTGCTGTGGAATTCTCTCTAAATTCACTTCTTAACATGATATCAGAGCCACGGGATGAGCTCATCGCGTTAGATACGTTGCACATCGATGAATTTTTATTTACGATTTCGTCAGACCTGTTTGTGTTTTTGATCTCGGAGGAGATTCAATTTTTCCGGCGATCTACTCAAATTTTCTGGCGATTTTTCTCTTTTTGAGCCTTCGGTGAACATTTGCGGTATTATCTGGTTTGATTTCTATTAAAGGTTTTGGTCTTTAGAGATTTGAGGCAAATTTGGTACTTTTTCTCCTGATTTGAAACCCTAATTTTGATTCATATCAAATTCTCCTGTAATTTCTTTTGCTATGGGTTCGACTGTAGAAGATATATCTAGTAATTATAGTGTAACTGATAATTCAGCTGTAACATCTTCATCTCCACTATATCTGCTTCCTTCTGATTCACCTGGTACAATTTTGGTCACCACAACTTTTGATGGCACTGGCTATGGAAGTTGGCGTCGAGGAATGTTATTAGGACTCTCATGCAAGAATAAGCTAGGCCTGATCAATGGAACAGTTGTGCGACCTAATTCCACCTCTCCTTTACTCGAACCTTGGATTAGGTGTAACGACATGGTTGTAGCTTGGATTCTGAATAGTTTGGATAGCGAAATTAGGGAGACTGTGATGTACACTGAAAGTGCTGAGAAACTTTGGAAGGAGATTCGGCGCAGATTTGGTCAAGCTAGTGGAATTAAGATTTTTCAGATTTGTAAGGAAATTTCCTCGATTAGCCAAGGTTCATCAAGCATTTCATCATATTTTAACAGAATTAAAAAGTTGTGGGATGAGCTTTCTTTCTCTGTATCATATCCCGATTGTGTTTGTGGATGCAAAGAGACCTACCAAAGGTTAGATGAAGAACAGAAGGTTCATCAATTTCTAATGGGTTTGAACGAATCATATTCCACTATTAGGAGGAACATACTTATGATGAAGCCTCTACCTGATGTGGATAGTGTGTACTCGATGCTTGTTAATGATGAGAGCCAGTCTAGTGTTCAAGCTAATGTACCATCTCTTAATTCTGATTCTACTGCTTTCTCTGCTGGTGTTCAGAAGCCATACTCTCAAAGAGTTAGTTTCGACACTCAAAGAGCTAGTTTTGACCCTTCCAGAAAGAACAATATTGTTTGTCGTTATTGCAAGAAGCCTGGTCATCAGATTGAGAAATGCTACAAGCTTCATGGTTACCCTTCTGGTTTTCAGACTAAGTTCAAACGGACTGCAGCATTTGCTCAAGTGTCTGATACTCCACCTATTGGACATCCTGAAAACTCTGCTGGTGATACCAAAATAGTTCAATCTGATGGTGGAAATTCTAGTATAACCAAGGAACAATTTGATCAATTGCTGATTTTTTTGCATTCTCGAGCTTCTGGAACATCACAAGAGATCTCTGCTGGTTCTGCTAATTTTGCAGGTTTGATAGGTAATCCTGATTTCAAATCTTGTGGTCTACTTGCTTGCAATTTTTCTAGGGTAGAAGATAACACTTGGATCATAGATTCAGGGGCAACTCATCACATGACCCCAAACTCTTATTTTCTAGTTGACATTAAACCTCTAGTCTTACCTTATCTTGTCACTTTACCAAATGGTTATAAGGTAAAGGTGACTTGTACAGGTACTCTTACCCTGTCCTCTGAAATATCTCTTACTCATGTTCTCTTAGTGCTTTCCTTCCAGTATGATCTCATTTCTCTTGCTCAACTAATTTTACAGCTGAATTGCTTGGCTTATTTTTCCTCTATTGCTTGCGTTTTGCAGGGCCCTTCTCTGAAGAAGCCAGTGGGTCTTGGTAGTCTTCAGAATGGGCTCTACATTCTCAATCCTACAAACCTTGTTACTTCTAAGTCTACTTTTCATTCTTCATTTGTAAATACCATTACTGCCTCCACTTTACATGATTTGAATAAGAGTAGTAGTCCTACTTCTAATCTTTCATCTTCTGTATATGTGAATGCTGGTGTTTCTTCTGCTATTCAATCTCATGAGTTGTCTTTTGACCATTCTTGGCACTTGAGGCTTGGACGCATGCCCTTTAATAAAATGAAGTTCATTCCATTCTTGTCTGATAAACTGCCAAAGAAACAAACATTCTTGTGTCCTATTTGCCCCATGGCTAGACAACAAAGACTTCTATTTCCTGAAAGTAAAATACATTCCACTTCGCCTTTTTAATTAGTACACATAGATCTTTAGGGACCCTATCACACACAAATATATAATGGGTTCAAATATTTCATGACTATTGTGGATGATTTCTCTAGAGCTACTTGGACTTTTTTACTATCTTCAAAGAGCAGTGCTTTCACCTTGTTACAATCTTTTGTGCTAATGATTATAACTCAATTTGATGTCTTGGTCAAAGTAGTAAGATTTGATAATGCTTTTGATCTGGGTTCTAGCTCAGCAGCTCAGTCCTTCTTCTCTGCTCATGGAATTCTACACCAAAACTCTTGTCCACATACACCACAACAAAATGGTGTTGTGGAGAGGAAACATAAACACCTTCTTGAAACTACTAGGGCACTTCTATTTCAGTCCAAACTCCCTGTTAAATATTGAGGTGAGTGTATCTTGACTGCCACTTACCTCATAAATAGGTTTCCCTCACCTTTGTTAAATCACAAAACTCCCTTTGAGTTACTTTATGGTGCTACTCCTTCCGTTACCCATTTTAGGACATTTGGTTGCCTTTGTTTTGCTGCAGTCCTCAAACTATATAGAGACAAATTCAAATCAAGATCCATTCCTTCTATTTTTCTTGGGTACAGTGCTGGCAAGAAGAGTTATAAACTACTGTCATTATCCAATTCCAGTGTTTTCCACTTCATGAATGTTGTTTTTCATGAAACTGTATTTCCTTACTCTTCTCCTGATTCTACTCATTTGTTTCCTCCTTCTGTTGTTACCCCTTCTTCAGTCCTTTCTTCCTTTCCCACTCTTGTTAGTCATCCTAAAAATAGTAGTTCTCCTCCTTTTTCTCCTTTTAACTCTTCTAATCCTTCTTCATTGCCTAGTAATACTGTTAGTCCTTCCTCTCCTTCCCATGCTCTTTCTCCTGTTCTAAGAAGGTCTCTAAGAACTCACAATCCTCCTTCCTAACCTGATGATTATGTTTGTTCCTCTGTTTCTAGTTCTAAAGTTCCTTCACCCTCTGATCTTTGCTTGCAAGAACCACAATTTTACCATCAAGCTGCCTCCAATCCTGCTTGGCAGGAGGCTATGATGAAAGAATTTCAAGCATTGGAAGCCAACAATACTTGGGATATTCTTCCTTTGCCTCCTGGTAAGAAAGTCATACCTTGCAAATGGGTGTATAAGATAAAATAGAGGGCTGATGGTTCAGTTGAAATATACAAGGCTAGGTTGGTCATTAGGGGTGATAATCAGTTAGAAGGGGTAGACTTCACTGAAACCTTCTCTCCTGTAGTTAAATTGACAACTATTAAATGTCTCCTATCTGTAGCCATTAAAAGACATTAGGTAGTGTACCAACTTGATGTCAGCAATGCCTTCCTCCATGGTGATTTGGATGAAGAGGTATTCATGAAAATCCCTCAAGGCTTAACTGTTTCTACCCCTACCTCTGTTCCTGTTTCTTCATTAGCTTGCAAATTAAATAAGTCCCTTTATGGCCTTAATCAAGCCTCAAGGCAATGGTATGCTAAGCTTTCCTCTACTCTTCAATCTAAGGGTTTTCAACCTAGCTTGAATGACTATTCTCTATTCAGAAAATTGAATGGACCACATCTCACTGTAGTAGCAGTTTATGTGGATGACATACTGTTGGCTAGGGATGATGTGTCTGAGTTGAATAATTTGAAAGCATTCTTAGATGCTCAGTTTAAGATCAAGGATCTTGGTGAGGTTCATTACTTCCTTGGGCTTGAGATTGTTAAATTGCCTCAAGGATACTTGATCTGTCAAAATAAGTTTACTTTGGATTTGCTATCTGATTTCCAATGTTCTGCAGTTACACCTGTGGTAGCCCCTTAGACTCCCATGTCAAGTTGTCATCTGAGGTTGGGGATTTACTATCTGATCCATTTGTTTATGGAAAATTGGTAGGCAAACTCAATTACTTGCAGCATACCAGACCTGATCTTTCCTATACAGTGCAATATTTGAGTCAATATATGTCTGCTCCTTGAGTCCCTCACTTGGAGGATGCTTATCATGTTCTTAGATATGTCGACGGCACCTCTGATTTGGGTATTCTACTTTCTAGCACTCCTGACTTTTCTTTGCATGGTTTTTGTGACTCTGACTGGGCTAGTTGTGCTGATAGTAGAAAGTGTGTTTCTGGTTTTGTGTTGTTCCTTGGAGGCTGCCCAGTTTCTTGGAAGTCCATGAAGCAGCCTACTCTTGCTTTGTCCTCTACTGAAGCAGAGTATAGAGCTCTTTGTTTGTTGGTAGCTGAAGTTACTTGGATTGTTCGATTGTTGGGTGAGCTGGGTGTGGATAATCTCAGCCTTGTTGCTCTGTACTGTGATAATCAAGCTACAGTCCATATAGCCAAAAATCATGTATTTCACGAGCGGACCATACATATCGAGGTGGACTGTCATTTTGTACGGGACGCCTTATCTGCTGGTTTGATCTCCTTGCATTCTATTTCTACATCTGCTCAACTTGCTGATATTTTCACTAAATCTTTGCTTGGTGTGCAGGCTTTTCTTCCCAAGCTTGGAATGGCCAACCCTTCCAGCTTGCGGGGGAGGTGTTGGAGCTGAAGTTAGTAGTGTTAAAGTTAGTAAATTTAGTAGTGTTAAGTAGTCAAAATGGGCCAACTCATCTATTGTAATTATGTTATTCTTATTGAGGCTCATTAAGTGAGAGGCCCAATTGTATCATGTACATATGAGAGACCCATTTGTATTAGTTGTACAGATTTTGAGTAGTAATAGATTTTACAATTTTCTCTGAACTCTCTCTCTGCACCAACATATCCTAGAGTTCTTCATCTTCTCATCGATGTGGAATTCTCTCTAAATTCGCTTGTTAACAAAATTTATGGTCAAACATGAGTTTGAAAATAAATTTCAAATTTATTTTGACAAAACTCATGGCCAAACGGGTCCTAAATATTAAACATTTCACATTTCTAACCTTTTGCTAAATAATCGTGTCAAATGAGATACTTAGGATATGAACAAATTAAAAGAGTAAAACTCACTATCAAAATTAATTAATTACTAAATACTCTGTTTTTTTATACAAAACGATGGAAGAAGTAACAGTAGAACAAAAGTTGCTGATCCAAACTTGACAAATTGCTCGCCTACACAGATTTGATACTAAATATTCTTTCTCTCTTTTTTACGTCTTTTGTGGCCTTTTCCTTTTCTTTTTTCTTTTTTTAATTTTATTAGAGAAACCAATTTTAAAACATCAGCATGATGCAAGAAAAACCAACATATTGTTTTAGCATTTTTTTATACTGATTGATGGAGGTCTTGATTCAAAGAATTTTTAAATTTTAATACTACTTTTTGTTTTCACCACGAAATATTTGTAATACCCTTTTGAAGTCTTTTGTCCTTTTATGTAAAAAGCAAAGATTTAAAAGAAGAAAAGAAAACTAATTTTTCATGTATCCGGTCTGGCTAAATAACAAACGACATAAATAAATATATAGGATCAAGTTCTTCTTTTTTTCCTTGGATACCCCATTATGAATCATTAATTATTGTCCCCAACATGTCAAAACTTCTTTGGCATATTTCGAATATCAGACAAAATGACAAAAATGGTCTATTATGTTTACTTATTGGTTCAAAATAATTCTTTAGATATGCTTGCTAAAGTTTATGGATTGAATGCAGTAAGAAACCCTAGTTGAAAGGGAGAAGAGAGACGAGGAGAAGAGAAGAAGGAAATGAATGAAACAGTAACATTTTCATTTTGCTCTGATGAGCTGTACAGTAGACTATATATATACAAAGGAGTTAACTTCTAATTAACCACTCTCTTACATGATTAACTTTTAACAACCTATCTAACAAACTTAACTAATCCAACCATGTATAAATAGACTAAACTACCCTTCATGCTTAAGTCACTCCTCTTTCCTTAACACTCCCCTCAATCTAGGTGATACAAAAATATTAAGAACATCTAGCTGGGACATCAAGTACTCATGTTGCACTCTAGTTAAGCCTTTTATTAAAACATTTGCAAGTTATTCTTTTGTGGCAACATACTCTGTCTTCACCATCCCCTTTTGTATCTTTTTCCTTATAAAGTGACAATCGATCTCAATGTGTTGGTACATTCGTGAAATACTGGATTTGCAGCTATCTGAATTGCTGCCTTGCTGTCAGTATGAATGGTCACTAGAAGAGCAATTTGCACTCCAATATCTTTAAACAATCCAAGTATCTAACTACTTCTGCCACAGTCGATGCAATGTTTCTGTATTCTGATTATGCAGAACTCCTAGAGATAGTGCTCTGCTTCTTATACTTCCAGGACACTAGTGAGTCACCATACATAATGAGATTCCAGTTACAGATTTTCTAGTGAGAGGACAGGCTGCCCAATCAGCATCACAATAGGTTGTGACTATGTTCTTCTTCTTAGTAGACAACAGTATGCCTTGTCCAGGATGATTCTTCACATATCTGACTACTCTTTGTGCAGCCTCCATATGAGATATTTTGAGTTTCTGCATGAACTCACTTAGTGTCTAGGATCAGGTAACAACTCATCAACTATTGTGTTATGCATACCTGTATGTTCATTATAATCCTTAGTGGTTAGTTTAGTGTTGGCTTCAATAGGTGTAACAATTGGTTTTGCAGCTCCTAGTCCAAGCTCAAAGATAATTTCAAGGTTTACTTCCTTTAGCGCATTAGAATGCCTTATTGTGACCTAGCAAACTCAATGCCAAGAAAGTATTTCAGTTCACCTAGGTCTTCCATTTTAAAGGCTTGCTGCAGTTTGGCCTTGATTTCTTCTAATAGCATCAGATCAGGTCTAGTGAGGAGTATGTCATCTACATACACCAGGATAACTATAGTGTGTTTGCCTGTGCCATTTATGAATAATGAGTGGTCATGCTGGCTCTACATGAACCCAAACTTCAGTAGTGCTTCAAAGAGTTTGCCATTCCACTGTCTTGGTGCCTCTTTAAGTCCATATAAGGATTTTAGAACTATGCATATTGGTCTGCTCTCCCCCCGACTCTAAAATCCTTGTGACAGAGTCATATAGATATTATCATGTAGGTCCCCTAGCAAAAAAGCGGTGTACACATCCATTTGATAGATATGCCAATGTTCAAAAGCAACAACATCTAGAATTGTCTTAATAGTAACCATTTTGACTGTAGGACTAAAAGTTTTCGGGTAGTCAATGTCCTCTTGTTGGTTATAACCCTTGGCCACAAGTCTAACTTTGAACCTCTCTACCTCCCAAGTGGCTTTGTACTTCACTTTATATATCCATTTACAAACAATTGGTACTTCATCAGCAGACAAAGGTACCACATCCCAAGTATGATTAGATTCTAAAGCAGTAATCTCAGCTTGTATTGCATTGCATTGCATCAACCCACCTGAGATCCTTGACTGCTTCTTCAAATGTAGTAGGTTCTACTATTGAAGAAAATACAGCTAGATAACATTGATACTTGGGAGACACACCATCATAGGAGATGTAGTTAGCAATATAGTAAGGAACATATTTGTAACTGGGACCTATCACAAAATCCTTCAACCATATATGAGTATGCTTGGTCCTCAAAGATCTTCTCAGACTAGTAGTGTGTTGATCAGCAGAAGGCAGTAAGGTTGACACTCCTTCAGTGGTACTAGATAGCTGCTCTGGTGCCTCCTGGCTTGAGTCATCACCTGTAGTGCTTAGATTAGTAGATGTAGAAGGAGAAGATGCATGTCCTGAACTGTGAGGCTCATGTGAAGTAGATATATAGTCTGCACCATAAGTAGAACGATCAGAGGACAAGAACACAGGTGGAGATGAATGAGACTCCTTAAAGGGAAAAATATCCTCTCTGAAGGAGACATCCCTATTGATAAAGAAACAGTTAGTAGCAAGATCCAGTAACACATAACCATTTTTGAGTATCAGAGAAACCCATAAGAATAGTAGGTTTGGCCAAGGAGCTTATCTGTCTCTTGAACTTGCTTGACATAACATAAGCAACCAAGAACTCTCAGATGCTCCAATATAGGTTCCTGTCCATATAACAGCTCAAAGGGAGATAAACCATTGAGAACAGAAGTTAGCATTCTATTGATAATATAGACAACTACAATAACACAATGACCCAAATATTTGATAGGAATATGTGCTTGAAATCTCAAGGCCCAAGTTACCTCCAGAATATGTTTGTGTTTTCTCTCAACAACTCCATTTTGCTGAGGGGTATATGCACGAGTCTTCTGGTGAATAATACTATATTTTTGAAATAGGACATGACAGACAGAATTGACAAACTCAGATCCATTATCAGACTTGACTGCCTTTAGAACTTTGTTGAATTGAGTTTGAACAAAAACAACAAACTGAGTAAGAACTACACAAACATCAGACTTTACTTTCAAGAGAAACAACCAAGTCATTCTAGTGAAGTCATCAACCACTGTTAGAAAATATCTACGACCATCAAATGTTGCATATTTGTAGGGACCTCAAACAGCAACATGAATTAGATCAAAAGGATTAGTAGTTTTAATACAGCTATTAGGAAAAGGGCAATCTGGTTTGCTTAGCACATGGACATACAGTGCATTTATTTATGATGTCAGTAATATTTGCTAGTTTGGCAGGAAACAACTTCTTAAGAACTATGCTAGACACATGTCCTAATATTTTGTGCCACAAACTAATATCAATAGTAGAGTTCCTCCTGTGCGACTTTATTCCAGCTGCAACCAATGAGATTGCAGTGAGCTTCTTGGATCCATGTCTCTGCAGGAAATACAAGTCATCTCTCTCCCTACCAATCTCCCTTACCCTGCCACTGAAGAGATCCTGAAATACACAGAAATTACGATAAAAGGAAGCAAAAATCTTAAGTCTCTTGTCACTTTGGAAACTGATAAAAAGTTAAATTTGAACTAAGGCACATAGAAAATTTCTTTGATGACATTGTTGTTTGAAATATGACTATCTCCAATATGTGTGACTTGAGTGACATCTCCATTAGGTAGTAGAACTTTTCTGGGATCAGTGGGAGCAGTTATGGAGGTTTTGGTTAATAGATTAATATCTGAAACCATATGGTTTGTGGCTCCTGTATCAATGATCCATTCCTATGGGCTAGGTGATGATGCTAATAGAGCAATGGTAGTACCTGCTGCATTTGTTTGGGAAGTAAAGGATGAAGTGCCATTGTGACTGTTGTTAAGGATCTGCATGATTTGCTCATACTGTTCTTTGGTGAATGGAAAATCACCTCTTTAAGCTGAAGGCTTGGCATTTACAACACCTTGAGCCTGTGAAACAGCAGGGCCAGCCTGAACCTGAGCACTAGAGCTCCCTTGTACCTAACATTTTTCAGCACTCTGACTCATAGCATGATGATGACTATAGTTTGCATGCAGTGACTATAATGGTACATATGAGAGTCATTTTCAGCATATAGAGGCATAGAGTAACTAGGTTCTACCATTACATTATGTGCACTAGCTCCCCTTTTCTTATTGAGCTTATAATAAGAGGGATAGGCTATGATTTTATAATAATTTTCTTTATCATGACCTTTCATTTTATAGAAATCACACTGAACATTATAGTTCTTTCTAAACTTTGGGTTAGAGTTAGACTTAGCACTATAGAGTGCAGTAGAGTCATAGGTATTTGCATTCACAATAGGAGGAGGACCTAACACACCAGCTGATGCAGCTACAGCCTGTTGACTCTCATCACTCATAAGCATAGCATAGGCTTGATTCACTGTTGGTAAAGGCTTCATCATAAGGATTTGACTACGAACTTATGAATATGAGTCATTTAAGCCCATTAAAAACTGATATACATTTTGCTTTCATAGATGCACAATAAACTCCTTTGTTTGGGATAGTCACACCCAGATGTAGGTATTACAGACTCAGATTCATCCCAAAGATCTTTAAGTTTTGAGTAATAGATAGAAATAGAGGAGGTACCTTGACACAAAGTGGTTATTTCCTTGTGTAAATTGTAGTAGCGAGTATCGTTTACCTTATCAAATCTCTCATGCAGATCCAACCATACTGTTTGTGCACTAGTGGCATAGGCTATACCAATAATTAGTGAAGGAGCAACTGAGTTCATGAACCACAACAGTACGATAGCATTACACCTTTCACACTGATACTAATACTTGTCGCGGAACCTCTCATTTGGCCACCTGCCATCTACAGTTCCCCGCTCATTACGACCTAATAAAGCAATCCGCATAGATCGATACAATAAGGAGTAGTTATCATTTTCAATTAATTGAAATGAAATCAAAGAAATGCCGCTAGTATCACCAGGGGCAAGATACAGGGGATGAGCTACAGCTACTGTAACACCTTCCTCGAATTCATCATCCGATGAAACATGTGATGTATTCTCAGCAGTGATAGTTGCATTTTCATCATCAACCACCATTGTTGAGTTATTCAAAGCTTTAGATCTGAGAAATTGATATCACAATTGACTCAAAAATAGAGAATAACAGCTAAACGTAGAGCAGAGAAGAGGATTTGGATCGATTTTGAGCTTTGATTTGGAGCTCAAAGATCTGATACCATGCTAAAGTTTATGGATTGAATCCAGTAAGAAACCCTAGTTGAAAGGGAGAAGAGAGACGAGGAGAAGAGAAGAAGGAAATGAATGAAACAGTATCATTTTTATTTTGCTCTAATGAGCTGTACAGTAGACCATATATATATAGATGAGTTAACTTCTAACTAACCACTCTCCTATATGATTAACTTCTAACAACCTATCTAACAAACTTAACTAATCCAGCCATGTATAAATAGACTAAACTACCCTTCATGCTTAAGTCACTCCTCTTTCCTCAATACTTTGAATAGTTTTGGTCCTTTTAAATTTAAGAATATTGAGCGGGTTTGATATCCGTCATATATTTAATAAACTCTACTTGATAGATTTAGTGAGAACCGTGACAAAAATAGGGTTTCACATGGATACACATTTGGAAGTTTTATATTTATAATTTTCGCTGATTTTAGTCTATTTTTAGATTTTGGTGCAGGTAAAATTTCTGTAATATTTTTATCGGTTTCTTGTGTTAAGTATAATTTTCTGTCTTGCGATTTTTAGTATTTAATTTTTTTTGTGTATTTAGTTTTATATATATATATANAAAATATTAAAACTCTTAGTGTAAATATAAAGAACCATTGTCACGACCCCAAACCACCCCGGTCGTGATAGCGCCTATCACAGTACTAGGCAAGCCGATTCAACACTAATAACATAAAGGGTCTTTTGTGAATTCATTTTTCTAATCAAATATGACCACAAATCTTTCATTTTAATATATCTAAATACGCGGAGAACAAATACGCAAATACATCAACACTGCTTGATCCTGGTATCACTAGTTGTCTCGCTCCCTTTTCCTCTCGGAGTCCGGGTTTCGACATTCATTGGGAACAACTCATTTCCTTTTGGGAATTGGGTATGTAATTTGAAGAGTCATCACCTAACAGATTTAAGGTGCGTTAGGGCACCTAAAGCAAATAATTCATAAAACCGGTTTGCATTACCAGAAATTGGGTAAGGGCTCGAAATAACGTTGGGGGGAAGGTGTTAGGCAACCCTCGAGGTCCACAATGGTGGGTCCCGGCCAAACTCGAATTAGGTGAATTAGTCTTATAAGCAATTTATACAAATGGATATTACATTTAAAACAAGGAGTAGAAGGGGGTCCTAGGGTTTTTAGCCTATAGGATCACTTCTGTGCAATGCTTGGTAATCGTCCCCAAGTTGGAGTGCTACACATAACATTAGCGTACATGTCATCTTATCCTTTACTACCCGATTACCCTCCCCTTAGTAGTTATATAAGCGATTCTAATTAAACGTACTCTATGCGTGCATTACCCGTCCCTTACTTATGGTCCTGAAGGTGTTTAGGACTTCTAGTTAATGTGGATCTAGACTTTCCTATAGTGTCTAAAAGGAGAAAATCTAAGCGACAAGCAAAATAAATAGGACTGTCAGATAAAGGAACAATTAAAGGCTCACATTTTACCTCCACAAATAAATAGGCAATTGCACGTCTCAAACAATAGTATTTTAGACACTTTAGAAGTCCTATAGCAGGATATCTAGGTGAGCACAAGAAGAACATATGCAGTGTTTTATTAAAGCAAGACAGAAGGTACTTGATCAGTTGCCTACTGATTTTAGGACTACTGAATATGAGCAATTCACAAACATAGTTTTATAATTTCCAGATTTTAATCGCCCTGCAGGCTTGCCTAGGCATGGATCAGAGATGTCCTGTAACATGATATCTAATCATTAATCAGAACCTCAATAAAATAGTAAACAATTTTAAACATGCAGTTTAGTTCAATAGGTCCTATAGGCATGTTGTCTAGGTGTAGAAACTGATTTAAACTTATAGACATGGTATCTAAATGCATAAATTGGTTATAAAACCCTATAGACATGATATCTAAATGCAGAAATTGGTTTTAAAACCTTATAGACATAGTATCTAAATGCAGAAGTTGATTTGAACCTTACTTGCATGCATAAACTGATTCAGACCTTATTGGCATACAGAGATTGATTTTAAACTTACAGGCATGGTGTCTAAATAAAAAATATCGCAGTAATCTATAGGCATGGTATCTAGAACGCATGACTGATTTTAAACCCTATAGGCATGGTGTCTAGAATGCAGGACTGATTTTTAGTTTCATAGGTCCCAAGCCTGAGAAATAAATTTTTGAAAGAAATTGTTTAACTGAAATTGTAAGAAGTTTTGGAAAGGAAAAGATGTTTAAAATTGAAGGTATCGGGCCCGTATTTTGGTTCTGGAGCTCGGCACATGTCTTATGTAATAATTAAATTAAATCTGTAAAGGTTGGTAAGAATCGGAGTTCGTTTAGTATAAATCAGACCTTTATTTGAGAATTTGGAAATTTTGATGTTCTTGAGTGATTTCATGAATTTGAGGTTTAATTCATAGTTATTGATGTTATTTTGATGATTTGATCACACGAGAAAGTCCGAATGATATTTTTAGACTTGCGTGCACGTTTGATTTGGAGCCTCAAGGGCTCGGGTGAGTTTTGGATAGGCTACGGTGTGAAATTCGACTTAAGAAAACTGCTGGTGTGTTGCAGGTCTGCAGGCTTTGTAATTGCGAAGTCTGGATCACAATTGCGAGCTCATATTTTGCAACTAACCATCGCATTTGCAATGACTAGGCAGGGGGGTGACCTTGGCATTTGTGAAGCTCCAGTCGCAAAAGCGACTCCAACAGTGTTCGCATTTGCGAACGGTCGTTCGCATTTGCGAGGTTAACAGGGTAGGCCTTCCTTCGCAATTGTGAAGCCTTGTCTGAAATTGCGAGTTCACATTTGCGAACATATCATCGCAAATGCAATATTTGCACCTGTGTAAATCATAACTTAACCGAAAATTCTTCATTTTTCAAACTCCCTCAAACCCTAAGCTCTCTTGGGCGATTTTCTATAGAATAGTTCTTCTCCAAATCGATTGTCATTTGTAACACATTTTCTTTAATCTATAACATCTTTTCACATGATTTCAACTCAAAATCAAAGGTTTTCATGAGGAAAATTGGGTGTTTTGGGTAGAACTTAGGATTTTCAAATTTTGGGGATTTTGACCTCGATTTGAGGTCCGATTTCAAAACAAATTATATATTTGAGTTCGTGGATGAATGGGTAATTGGGTTTTGGTTCGAACCTCGGGTTTTGACCATGTGGGCCCGAGGTCAATTTTTGACTTTTTGGGGAAATCATTTGAAAAACCTATTTTCATGCATTAGAATCGATTCATTTAGCCTTTATTGATATCGTTAAGTAAATTGTGGCTAGATACATAGCGAATTGGTGGTGGAAACAAGAGGTAAAGCGGTAGTTGAGGCTTGAATTGTGCTCGTGGCATTGAGGTAAGTGTTTTGTCTAACCTTAGCTTGAGGGATTAGGAGTTGTGTCTTATTTTCTATGTGTTAATTGTTGAGTATGACGTATAGGCATGGTGACAACTATCTATACGTCAGTGTCAAGCATGCCCATGAGTCTTATCCTGTGATTAATGTGACTCCGTTTCGTATTGTTCATGCTTTATATGATGATTTCTATTGTTGAATAAGGCTTGTGGAAGTGTTATTGGTAATTGAACATTGTG